CAGTCAGCAAATTAAACAGAGAAACAAAGACAGCAGAGGTTTTTATTTTATTTTATTTTATTTTATGGCAGAGACTTTTGGGGATGTTTTTGTTTATTTATTTATTTTTAATGGTAGAGTTTGGAAATGTATTACGGACCGAAGAATTCCTTTTTAAATGGAAGTTTAGCAACTTTAGCTAATGACATTTTTTGCTACCATGAGATGTTGCAAATTGCAGTTACAAGTACAGCCCTAATTTGTTTTGGGGAAAAAAAAAGCTATTTTTAACATGAGTATTAATATCTGTTATGAATTCAGACAGGAAGGTACAAGCCGCACCAAATTTGAAGTTTTGAAGTTGATACATTATATTTACATGTTCAATAATTTAATTACTTCCTCTTTTAACTTCCACCACAAGTCCATTTGACTGATCACAGCTTACCCAAACTATGCCCACAACCAAGGAACTCATTAGCAAAGCTATATTTTTAATTAGATTAGGAGTTAGTGAAACTAACCTCTGTGCCTTTCACTGCTAAGGATAATGATAATAAAAAATATCAGTAGCAGTGAGTAACGAGCATATCATCATTTTGTCTTTCCTAAAAGGAGTAGAAAGGAGTATAAACTTAATAAATCTCACTCCTGATCTATGATTGTGTGAATTGTGAGTTGTGCTTATCAATACATTGAGATATTTAATTTAAGGACATATTAACCATCGATATGGAAAAAATAGGATTATTTAAAAAAAAGTTTTGACATCATGACTTTACAGTGAGTATATTTAACTAAATACTGTATCTTATGAGTTGATTGTTTACATTATTTGAAACCAGATGAACTCTAAAATGAAGCGACTAAAAATCCAAAGCACAACACAACAACATAAATAAATAATCAAAGCCTGTTTATTATTCACAAGCTGCTTTTCTTTCTTTCATTTTTTTGTGAAATTTTTTCTGCCTAATGTTTTTGAAGTCAGTTCAGTCAATTCAGCTTTTGCCTTGACTCAACTTATATAATCATCTCATTGAGTCGTCTTTGACTGATTATATAACTTATCAAAGTTTTAAGTGGCTACAAGCTTGTTTGTTTTTGTTTGTTATGAATGAATAAAAGCCTTCCCACAAGGACAAACCAACATAATAACCATAAAACATCAGGTTTTTTTTTTTTACTTTTCTCAGGGCTCAACACAAAGATGTGTGTGTGTGTGTGCGCGTGGTATTTTCTTTTTTTCTACTCAACACTGCACTTATTTCAACACCTAATGTGATTACTGTTGCCACTTTACAGCTCGAAGTGTGTCTGCTTCTGACATGTGCGCTCATGTCTCTGTGTGTGTGTGTGTGTGCGCTCATTGTCCGTGTGTGTATTCATGTCTGTGTGTGTGCGTTTGCAGGTGTTGGGCCCTAGCTTTATACGGAGGAAACAGCGAGACGGGCTTCGACCAAAACACCACGTACTCCATCTTCTCCATCTCCATCACCCTCACTGACGAGGGCTTCCAAAACTTCTACCAGGTACTGAAAGCTCCAAGCAGTTCTCTGCTCTCCACACCTTTTATTATTCCTCCCTACTTTCCTCTTCACTGTCGGGTAGGAATGTGTGATATGGCAAAAGTCATATCACGATATACATTATGATGAGTGGCGGTAACGATATATATCACGATATAAAACTTATAACAGAAAATAAATAAATCACACATTAATTGAGTGGAATAAATATGTATAGGTAAAAAAATGTAGACCTTAAAATCTCCTTTTTTAAGGGACACTTTAAAGTCTCCCATAAAAATCTAAATTTAAGGGAGATCTACCACAATAACTTTAATGTAACAGATATCTGCATCCATTGGATGTTGTGTTTGGAATCACCTGCTTCGTTTTAAGGTGGTAAAACAAATTGCTTGTATTTATTCCTTTCTACACACTTTGCAGATTATTTTTTCTGCACTCCACCTGTTTAATCTGTGCACGCTCCGGCGGGGTGACAATCATTATAGTCGCGCTTTGGAGTGCGCGCGCATTCGGCCGTGCGTCGTCGCGCTATGACCGCAGGAGAAACGAGGTCCAGACTGATTTTTGTGCATCCCACCTGAGCACTGACTTCACCTGCAATGACAGTCGCCTCGCTGCGTGGAAATGAATGGAGAGCGAGCGACGTCGCCTCTCGTGTGTCGAGCCCTTCACACATGCCGCGGCGCGCGCTCCTTCCGCAGCAGGCAGTGTAGTCGGTCGGCATCCGACCGGAGGACGCGCCGTCACGTACATATGTAAACAGTTCGGCGTTCATTTTCACACACCCGAACCAGGTCTAGATAAGTTTTTCCGCCCCCTCTTCATTTGCGCTTTCAGCCACGCTTCCTCTGTTTTGACTCCAGCCGGTTACATCATCAAAAAGAATTGCGCGGTTGGCCGGTAGACTACAGATCTCTATCATAGGACAAAATTACATCGTTTCTACCGTGTATCGTTTATATCGCGCATTCCTACTGTCGGGTAAATCTTCAGCTCAGTTGTTTTTATTTTCTCGTTGGATCAAACGGGATCAYAGTTTTCCTCCCATTTTGTTTGTGTGACGCTGACATTAAAATGTTCCTATACACTCCAGCGATGAGAACTAATAAAACACACGCGAGCAGAGATTGGGAGTGTGACACGGAGGGCCCGTTTCTCTTGGCTTTAGAGGTAATTTCAAGGAAGCTGTGTGCATTATCTGTTGCTATGACAACCCTTGTGTTAACCTCAGACTCAGTGGGCGATCATTCAACAAGAAGATGCTCTTCTTTGTCTAAACTACTTGACTGAGAAATATTCCAGGCACCACACCTACATCGGWAACTTTCGTAGAAATTATGAAACAGCCTTGAGAACATTGACAGTCTTTCGATTYGGTCGTGGTGTTGGATTTTCACCAAAGCTGTCTGGAGTTATAAGGATGAAAGACGACCTATTATGATTTTAAAAACAGTTAAGTAATTTAGTGGCATATTTGTAACCTTGCTCACCTAAATTCCACATCATTTTGTCGCTCCATCAAGACCCAGAAGTCGATATGTTTTATTCATCTAAAAAAAACCTTTGCTCTTTAAATAGATGGGCTTTAGTGAAGCAAACAGACTCGAGGTGGGGTCGACAAACACTGTCAGTCCTGTCACCAAACTGCCAGTGGGCTGCTAGATTCTGTGTTAGCYGCATTCATCCTCCTTGTAAGACAAACAGCGAGTGAGCTAAATAAGAAGCTGCTGCAGACAATAAAAAAAGAAGAAAAACYCAGCAGTTCAGGGAAATGCTCCCTCACTGCTGCAAGGCAGCGTCTGCTTAGAGGGTTAATTTAGCAAGAGAATTGTTCGTTAGCGTGGAACATCAAGATCGTAAGACACTGCAGTTTTAGTGAGACATGTTTAAATGCACTGAATGTCAAAAATAAAACATCTAAACGAACAGGAAAGCCTCACAAATAATTAATTAACATTCAGCAGCAGCTTTGATATGTTTTATTTGAAAGTGACAAGGACATTAATAAACATCAGAAAGAAAAACGGGTATAAATAAGCCAGAGTTAGCAAGTTTTGTTTTTTTAATTCGTTGTAACAATAAATAAAAAACAACCTTCAAATAATGCAATAATGGTAATAAGTGTGTATAAGTATAAAAATGTACAGTTATGTACCACACCCGTTTGTTGCACTGACACATCATACTGTAGTTCATAGACATTTTCTATAAGATGAATGTATGGAGATAAATTAGTCTCAAAGATTTGAGCGAGCGCAACAAGATTCACACAAGTGCATGGATCTGTTCCCATGTAAATGTGATTTTTGAGAATTTCTTACCACTGCAGATTCACATGCGTAATGCTGCGTGTAAGGCTGGTGAAAAGCTGGGACATCTGATCCTTATCAGATTTTCAAGGTTATTGGGAAAAGACGTTTCTGACTTAGTACAATAGCTCATAAACTCTATACGCTTACATTGACGTTACTGGGTTTCAAAAATGTTAATTTTGTGGACTGTAGGGCTCAAATAAACAACCTAAATTGAGAATATAAATAAATTTTATTAGAACAAATGAATACTGGGCACAGAAAGTAAGGATATTTGTGTTTGGTAGAATAAATGTTTACCGGGCACCTGATTGGCAGCACCTGGGGGTACCAGAAACTCAATACAAGTGTCACTAGCAATTAGCTGTTTAGCAATAGGAGAGAAATTTTGGCAAATATTTTACATGTGCACAAACCACATACTCAGCTCTACTGCTCATCCCAGAAATGCATGTTTCTTACAAATGTGGCTCAATTTAAAGGGGCAATTTCATGTAAAATCAACTTTTTTGAGTTTTATATCATGTTATAATGTTATACTCTCATAAAAGACATGCCCAAAGCCTTGCTTTGACTCATTCATGCATGTTTGAGAAATCCTGCAGTGTTTTTAGGCAGCCATGCTGAGGAGCAAAAC